CCCCCCCCCCCCCCCCCCCCCCGCATAACTCTGGCTGGCCTTGAAATCACTGTATAGCCACAGATGACTTTGAATTTAGGATTTTCCCCCTACTTCTGCCTTCTAAGTGCATGCTGGGATTGCTTCCTGTATACTAAGCAAGCACTCTACCAACTGAACTACATCCCAGCCCAACAGTTACAGCTTTCTAGGCTATTCTAAGTGTTAACTGGAGAGGAATGGGCCATGTATCCAAGGGCTATCGTAATACTTTACTTTCTGTACATATACATATTTTGGGATTAAAATTGCCATAGATGATATCTTTATCTACACACTACTTTTACTACTATATGATTTAGTCTCTTTACCAGTATAAAAAATTTATCAGTTAATACTTTGAGGAAAAATGAGTGAAAGAGTCAAAGTATTGAATTTTTCATTAAGGTAAACTCAATTCAAATTATTAACTTTTACTGTAAGATTCTTTCTACATTTTAGAGATTAAAATATCTTTTATGCAATGATTACTTTAGTTATTTTATTACCAAATACTGAAAAGTTGATTTTTTTCCATCTTAACTTTTAAAATAAAACCCCAAAAGTTTGGGGATCTGGTCATCTAAATGATCTTAAAATTCCTATGAAATCATCTCACTCTCTTAAGAGTCTTGGAGTGGCTAGAAGTGGTGGTACATACCTTTTATTCCAGCACTTAGGAGGAAGAGGCAGGAGGCTCTCAGTGAGTTTGAAGTCAGCCTGGTCTGCATAATGAATTTCAGGTTAACTAGGTCACTACATAGTGAGATCCTGTTTAGAGGAGGCAGGGAAGGAGAAGAAAAGCCATTGGGATACCAGCCCACTTGGGCCTGGTCTCTTAAAGGCTATTGGGTGAAGGAGCAGAATGTGCTCCCACAGCAGGAAATCACTGCAGTAAGTCAGGAAATTGCCCATTTGTCTCCTTGACCACATATAGCAATCTTTTACACACCTTTGTGTTTCTTACCCCTGGGAGTTCCTATTCATTTTTGTCAGTTCTCATTGTACTCTTTCCTAACCTATCTCTTTATTTTGCTTATTTCACATAATAGTTTTATGTAACAATGTGTTTTTGTCTTCTGGGTAATGAATTTCTTTAATTCATTTATTTAATAAACATTTACAGATAGAACTAGAAATCTAGCTTAGTTGGTAAAGTGATTGCTTTTTATGCATGAACCCCTGTGTTTGATCTTCAGCAAAGTTCAGTGTTGTTTGAGGCCATCCTGGGCTATATGATACCCTGTCTTTAAGTAAATTAAATAAATAAGCACATGTGCTCGGCGCTGCAGCACTAATCACATGATAGGTACTTTACCCTGTCTTCAAGGAGTTTATAGCTTTCTAAAATTGCTCCTTATATCACAGTGTTAAATATTATGAAAGAAGTGCGGGGGCCAGCCTAGTCTGTAGAGCAAGTTCCAGACAGCCAGGGCCAGAGAAACCCTGTCTAGAAGTGTAAAGCACTGGGGTGGGAAAATAGCTCAGTGGATAAAGTGCATGCATAGGAATCTCAGTTCAGCTCACCAGCATCCACCAAAAAGCTGGACTCAGTGGTACTCACTTTTAACTCTATTCTAGCAGAAATAGCAAGCTTCAGCTTCAGCCAAGATCCCCTTGCTCTATTGTGAAGAACAATAGAGGAAGACAGCCTGACTCCATAAGTGAACCTGTACACACATGTGCACATACAAATACACCACAAGGCACCCCAAAAAATTAAAGAGTGATTGGGGAGCTTAGCATATTTGTGAACTACTCTAGACTAGATAAAGAAGACTGAATTTTATTAAAAAAAAAAAAAAAGGTGCTGGCTTCCTGGAAGAAATGACAGCTAAATATTAAAATTAAGGAAGAGGAAGAAGGTGAGCCTAGAATTAAAGCCATTATAAGTAAGTCTACGGCCATACTGCCCCGAATGTGCTAGGCAGGTTCACGTGCCGTACTTCTGAGCAGAGGTTAAGCCCGCTTAGTACTGAATGGGAGACAGCCTGGGAATAAATAGGCCATTGATTTATAAGCAAGTAAAGAGACAAATCCATGATAAATTGCAGTAAGGTCATGGTGTTGTGTGTGGATATTGATATTTTAGACAGAATTATATATAATTTTATGTTGGAAGAAGCTCCAGAATTTATTTGTTCTACTGGAGACTATGAAGTTGTATGTAACAGTATTTGCTAAAGATACTATACTACTATTAAACAGAAACAAAAGTGAATGGTCAGTATATAAGTGTTTGTATGTTGTTACTAAGGATTTGGAAATTAGTAAAAATTATAAAAAGTCTATATTATAGCATAAGTAGCATAAGCATAAGTCTGTCTTACAGTCTTCACTAATAAAATGTCATCGGAGATTATTTGGGGAATGCTTTTGAATTAATAGATTTAAATGGTGGCACTTCAAATTGCAAGTTTTGTATGTAAATTTTTATAAATAGAAAGAGGCATTACTTGTAACAAATCTCTATTAGAATCTTTTGTTTAATACAGTGTCCCTTGAGCAGTCGAATCCTTAAAATCTGTTTTCTATTAAACCTTTTTTTCTGTAGTTCTTTCCTTCCTTTCCTTTCTCCTTCCTTCCCCCTTCCCTTCCTTCCCCCTTCCCCTTCCTTCCCCCTTCCCCCTCTCTCCCTTCCCCCTCTCTCCCTTCCCCCTCTCTCCCTCCCTCTCCCCTTCTGGAGTTCTTCCCTTCCCTTTCCCTCCCTTCCCCCTTCCCTTCCCTTTCCCTCCCTTCCCCCTTCCCTTTCCCTCCCTTCCCCTCCCTTCCCCCTTCCCTTTCCCTCCCTTCCCCTCCCTTCCCCCTTCCCTTTCCCTCCCTTCCCCTCCCTTCCCCCTTCCCTTTCCCTCCCTTCCCCTCCCTTCCCCCTTCCCTTTCCCTCCCTTCCCCTCCCTTCCCCCTTCCCTTTCCCTCCCTTCCCCTCCCTTCCCCCTTCCCTTTCCCTCCCTTCCCCTCCCTTCCCCCTTCCCTTTCCCTCCCTTCCCCTCCCTTCCCCCTTCCCTTTCCCTCCCTTCCCCTCCCTTCCCCCTTCCCTTTCCCTCCCTTCCCCTCCCTTCCCCCTTCCCTTTCCCTCCCTTCCCCTCCCTTCCCCCTTCCCTTTCCCTCCCTTCCCCTCCCTTCCCCCTTCCCTTTCCCTCCCTTCCCCTCCCTTCCCCCTTCCCTTTCCCTCCCTTCCCCTCCCTTCCCCCTTCCCTTTCCCTCCCTTCCCCTCCCTTCCCCCTTCCCTTTCCCTCCCTTCCCCTCCCTTCCCCCTTCCCTTTCCCTCCCTTCCCCTCCCTTCCCCCTTCCCTTTCCCTCCCTTCCCCTCCCTTCCCCCTTCCCTTTCCCTCCNCCCCCTCTCCCCCTTCCCTTCCACCAACTCTGCTCTAAACACCTATTCACAATTTCTACTTTCAAATGAAATCCACAGTGACGTAGGCCAGTTATAGTGTGTTTGTATTCATTAGCAGTCAGTGTGGACTATCTAGTGTGTCAGAATTGCTGGGGTTCTACAGGGAGGTTGCAGTCCTTTGGTTTCCATTGGTTGTACAGAGATTGTTTCTAAAATCATATTTTTTTTTAAGTAGAGATTAAATGAACCAGTTTTTCTTTTCTGCTTTTGTAGATTTCTTGATAACCGGCTATTTGCTACCTGCTCTGATGATACTACAATAGCACTATGGGATCTGAGAAAACTGAACACCAAAGTATGCACTTTACATGGTCACACTAGCTGGGTGAAGAACATCGAATATGATACTAATACAAGACTCTTAGTAACATCAGGATTTGATGGAAATGTCATTATATGGGACACTAACAGGTTTGTAATAGGAGACCATGTTAGGAATGGATTACTGTAAAACTTTTGTCTTTATAAGATGGTGAACAAGTTCAGTGTTCTGATCTAGAGTCGGGGAGCGGGGTGTCAAAAAGTTAGCTTAATGTGGAGAAAAAGGAAGGGAAAGTGATTCCTAGGCTGGGGACATGGCTCAACTGATCAAATGCTTACTTAGCATGCTTGAAGCCTGGCGTTTGCTCCTCATCACCACATACAGCCAGACACAGTGATGTAAGCATGTTATCCCAGCACTCTAGAGGTAGACATAGAAAGATCGAAAGTTCAAGGTCATCCTTGATTATATAGCAACTTGGAGGATAGCAGGGGCTACAGGAGATGCTCTTGTCTGGGGGCTGTGGGTTGGGAGGAGCAGGTGTGGTGGTGCAGGCCTTTAATCCCAGCATTCAGAGAAGCAGAGGCAGGTGGATCTCTGAATTTTCAGCAACCTGGTCTACATATAGAGTCCCAGGACAGGGCAATGTAGAGAGACCCAGCCTAAAAGGAAAAAAAGGAGGAGGAAGAAACCAAAAAAAGAAACCATGATTTCTTCTTTTATTACGTTTAGTCATGTGTTAAAGCTAAAGATTTTAGAACTAAGAGTATATATAGTTCAGTAGCAGAGAGCTTTTCTAGCCTGCATGGGCCCACCACTGCAAAAATAAAGAAGAAAATGGGGGAAATTACATGGGCAGAAGACCAAGGCATATATCTAAAGAAGAGAATTGGTTTATAAAATGAATTTCCTAAATATAAGGGAAAATATTTTTATTTCCTATGTGAAACAAAAATATTCCTCATTCTTTGGTTCTTTGGTCCTAAATGTATTTATTTTGTAGTTTTTAAATTTTATTTTCACGCATTAAAAAAGCAGTTCTCATTTGGAATGATTCTGATCTAGAAGCAGTGTTTAGAAATAATACGTGGGATTGTTTGGTTTGTGGGTTTGGATTGTCTGTGGAAGAAAAGGATACCTGCTGGTACCAGCTTAGCTAGAACCATAATTTCTCAGAATCCTGTAGTACAAAGCATGTTTAATACAGTGACCTCAGTTATTAAGCACTGCAAGAAAATGTTCGCTTACAGAGAAATTGTTTGCAAAGTTGAAGCTTGGCTTGTTGTGCTTGTTGCTAATGGTGGTGTGGTGAATTGTCAATATAGTTGACATATCGGAGCCTTCAGATGTTATGTCAAGAAAGAGTTATTTTTGGTTAAAAAAAAAAATTCTAGGTACACCCAACTGTTGTAGTGAAGGACAGAGTTATTGTTTCTCAATAAATACAAACACATCTTTTAAAATGCAGGCATAAATGTGGGGAGCTAATTTAGGAAGAAAATTTGAATAGGAATGTAAGTAATAATTTTCAAATTAGAAGAAAAGTGAAAACTTAATCAAACAATCAGTCCAATAGAAGCATAAAAGTGGGTGGATAGAATCATTTAAAAAGCAAACAGGCCACTCGGGATTGCGGATTTGTGCTTGGGAGTCTGAGGCAGAAGGACTTGAAGGCCAGCCTGGGTTACATAGCAACATTTTGTCTCAGAAAACAAAAACAAGATGAATCTGTAATCCCAGCTACTGGAAATGTTGAGGCAAAAAAGCTGTAAATTGAAGGCTAAACTAGTCAACTTAGTAAGACCTTTTCTCAAAATAACATAATAAAAGGGCCAGTGCTTAATGGCAGAGCACCTGCTTGGCATGTGTGAAGCCCTAGGTTCAATCCCTAATATTAAAGTAGCCAATTAAAATATAGTGGTAGATTAAACAGTAAAATCAAACTGTATGTTCTCTAGATGAGCTACATAAAATATACAAAACCAGAAAACAGAATAGGGAAGAAAATAAGTATTCATTAGAAGAAAACAGTTATGGCCACATTAATAGCAGACAAGATTGTATCTAAGGCAAGAAGCTTTATAACCAATAAGAAGGTACCCATATTAAAAGACTAGTTTTACTGGAATATAAATGAATTCTTTTTTAAATAATAAAATACTCAATAAACTAGGGGGAGAGAGATGAATGGTTATTTTTATCATGTTTAAAATGGGAATAGTAGCAATAATTACCATGAACAAGTGGCCTCCTCCAACACAGGCTTGTATGGATAAATAGTATAAATGAATTCTTATATTACCTAAAAATGAAACTTATTACAAGCAAAACTTGACAGAATTACAAGAAAAAAAAGCAAGAAATCAATAGAAAATGTTTTCTCATTTTTCTAATAGATAAAGTAGACATTTTAAAAAGGCCAGGGAGATGGATTAGTAGATTAGGCATTTGCTCAGCGAGTCTGGAAACCCAAGATCTATCCCCAAAATCCACATAAATGTAGAAGGAAAGAAGGCACCTCTGTTCTCCACACACATGCCATGATACACTCTCCTTCTCACACATACACACACACCATGCTTTTTAAAAGGGATTTAAAAATTGAATAAGGCTTTAGAAAATTTAAAGACATACATTTTTTTAGAATTCTATTCAATTCTGTTCCCTCAAACAGTAAATATATCCCTTCAAACAGATCTAAAACAAAAACAAAAACAACTTGTATTAAACTGCACAGTAGTTATCAAAGAAATGCTGTCACAAATAATTTTCTCTGAACTCAGTACAATTTAGTTAGCACAGTTATTAGAAGTGCCCACATTTAGCTTAGCATGGTAGTTCACACTGTAACTCTAGCATTTAAGAGGTTGAGGCAGGAAGAGGATGAGATTGAGGCTAACCTAAGCTACATATAGTGAGATTCTTTCTGTCAGGGAAGGAGAAAGAGAAAGTCCAGGTGTAATGAAATTAGAGGACTGAAAGTTGATAAACTTAATCAACAAAATTGAGAAGTGGGATAAACTCAATAAAAGATATATGGGAATAATGAAAAATAGAAATATAAAATCAGTATTGAAAATATAGGGCTGGGGAGATGACTCAGTGTAAGCACTGGCTGCTCTTCTAGAGGACCCGAGTTCAATTCCCAGCACCCACAAGGCATTTTACAGCTGTCTAACTCCAGCTCAAGGGAATCTGACACTCTCATACAGACATACATGAAGGCAAAACGCTAGTGCACTTTAAAAAAAAATAGAGAGAATAAAATGAAAATGCAGCCAGGCACAATAGTGCGCACCTTTTATCTCAGCACTTGAGAGGCAGAGGCAGGTGGATCTCTTAGTTCCAGGAAAGCCAGAGCTACATAAGAATCTGTCTCGAGAAAGCCTAGAAAAAAAAGAAAAGTTTTTTTTGTTGTTGTTGTTGTTTTTTTTTTTATCTGTTTGAAAAGCTATTCAGGGGGCTGGAGAGATGGCTCAGTGGTTAAGAGCACCAGCTGCTTTTCCAGAGGTCCAGAGTTCAATTCCCAGCAACCATATGGTGGCTCACAACCATCTGTAATGAGATCTGGTGCCATCTTCTGGCATATGGGCATACAGGCAGGCAGAATGTTGTATACATAATAAATAAATATATCTTTAAAAAAAAAAAAGGAAAAGCTATTCAAGGAGTTGGAGAGATGGCTCAGAGGTAAAGATTTCAATTCCCAGCAACCACATGGTGGCTCACAACCATCTGTAAACGATCTGGTGTCCTCTTCTGGCCTGCAGGATACATGCAGGAACAACCCTGTATACATAATCAATAAAAATCTGTAATAAAAAAAAGCTAATCAAATAGAGAAGGGTCTAAGATTCAAAATAAAAGACAAAATTACTAGCAATGAAGAAAGGAGCTATAACTAAAGTATGAGTTAGCTGTGGTGATGTATACCAGTTATCCCAACACTGAGCCTGAGGCAGGAGGAGCATAGGTATAGGGCCAGGTTAGACTACGCAATAGGATTCTATCTCAAAACAACACTATGTGGCCAGTGAAATGGCTCAGTAGATAAAGCCTCTTCCCACCAAACCCGACAACCTGAGTCAATCCGCCAGCCCCCGGGTCTACCTGGTGGAAAGTTGTCCTCTGTCCTCCACATGTGCACACATACCCACACATACATGCACATGAAATAAATAATAAAAATAATTTTAAAGCTAAAAAATTCAGCAATAATACTTTTATACCAATATACATTAAAACTTTGATGAACTAGCCATCTTCTTTAATATAGTCCTAGCATTTGAAAGACTGAGTAGGAAAATTACAGAGTGTTTCAGGCCTACCTGGCCTACACAGTGTGAGACCTATTTCAAATAAATCAAATCAAAATAAAACAAAAAAGCAGCACCTCAGTAAAACTGACCAATGAGAATTGACTTCTTATCAAGTCTTTTTAACCAACACTCCTTGGTTCAGCAGAAGCTAACATTAGAAGATTGAACTTAATGGGACCTTAGATACATAGCTGCACTAGGTTCTAAGTTTGATCCCTAGCACCCACACACAGTGAGTTTCTGCCATACTAATTAAGAAATATTTGTGCTCTAAGTCATACCCTACGCCTACTGGTACCCACTCTTCATCCCATGATCTACTAGCTGAAGTCTCCTTATACACTCACATTTATTCTAAGTACCCAGTGTTTATACAGTACTGAATATTACTTTTGCTTTGACCATTACAAAATGACAAAAATTGGGGTCTGGAGAGATAGCTCAGTGGTTAAGAGCTCTTATTCTCTTCGAAGGACAGTTTGGCTTCCAGCACCTACAGTGGACAGCTTATAATGGCATGCAACTCCAGCTTCAGGGGATCCAGTCTCTTTTGGTCTACATGGGCACCTACACCCACAGAATATATCCACACAGGACATAATACATATAGTCACAATTTAAAAACAAAATCTTACAATTCAATGACAAAAAATTAAAACATATCTACTAAAAATTTAAATTAATTAAAACCTATTTACTGCCGGGCAGTGGTGGCGCACGCCTTTAATCCCAGCACTTGGGAGGCAGAGGCAGGTGAATCTCTGTGAGTTCAAGGCCAGCCTGGTCTACAAGAGGTAGTGCCAGGACGGGCTCCAAAGCTACAGAGAAAC